GTAAAACGATACATTCAACAATTTTGAAATCATGTCAAAGTTACCTAAAGACAACAAGAGTTGCTGTGTACTTGTATTGTGTTAAAGCAAATTATGTAATATTGTTTGGGGGGGGGGTATATTGAGTGGATCAAATTATTGTGGGGGTCATAACACCCCTAACACCCTGCAGATTATGCCCATCAATGTGACAGAATAAACAGTGTTTATTAAGCATTTTGTCACTCCATTCTAATGTTTTTCAGAAAAGCACCAAAACAGCCATCGGACGCGGTAGAAAATTTTCCACAATGTTCTCTGACATTTCCTTCAGACAAAAGCTTTTGGAGGCTAAAACCCAGGAGGAGTTCAAACAGGAGCTGGTCTTCCAGCACCACCAGCTCTCTGAAGTCAACGAGAAGCCAGTCGTAGAGGAAGTCGATTCAGATCCACGCAAAGGAAAACCACTCCAGGTGTGAAATTAGAACAAAGAAGACATAAACCAGGCAGTTCYGTGTTGGAGTCAGTGTAGAATTTACTGAAGTAAAAAGACTAACAAGAATGGATGCCGACCTAAAAAAGCCATCGGAGCATAAATCTATTAGACAGAGTTACTTGAACAAACAATATTTAAACTCTATTAACTGCATGGTCTCTCCAGATGTGGAGACCACCCTAATTTTTTTTCTGACTCTACCCAGGCACATAAAGATGTAGGGCAGTAAAGTAGTTGAGTCAAATTATCTGCAAATCCTGTTTGSACACTCTATTAGCCGGGTATGTGGAATGAAGAGCAGCTGGGCAACAGAATAATAAAAAAAAGCTGCCAAGCCGTCCAAGGAGCTGAGGACAGTGTGTGCAATCTTGTGGATGAACAACTTTATTAAGTCCCATTTTAAAATTAATGGGTACAGCAACACTTTAGTAGCCCTGAGAGAGAAAGCATGTATTTGCATTGCAAAAGACTGCAGTTAACAACAGGCTGTGGTTACACCTGATCTCCTGATGGGGATGAAAACAGCGTTTAAGTATAGGTTTGCTGCTGCCAAGCCAGACTTTTAAACTATTACTCAATTCAAAAATATCTATAAAAGCCAATGAGGTATGTTGGTATGTTTGACTTTTATATTTATTGCTCTGAGTCAAAACACCAATTATCCAACCAGGAAAAAAATATGCATAGTTTGGAAATGGAATACCCCCATTTATAAATGATCTGTCTTTTTATTTGATATGTGAGGCAGGATTGCTTGTGGGTAAAATAGACCAAAGATCACCACAGTTTGACCTCTCTAGGTAATATTTTACCAAAGCAAATCAAGCACAGAAATTTAACTCGTGCAATATTTTACACAGAGAAATGCATGCAAGCAACAATACAGGCAAGGAAGACAGTTGTATTATAGGAAAAATGGTTTCCCAACATTGCTAATCTGATGATTTGAGCTTTTAACTATTATTCCTGAACAATATTATCTCGATTAGATTTAAAGGGCCAATATTATGTGTTTCTCGGGCATATGTCACATTAGCTGTTATTAAAATGCTGTTTTATGTTTAAACAGAAAATAAACTTATCTTCTCATCCCTTCCTCTTCTAAACATCTTGAAATTGGCCTCTGTCTCTTTAAGAACTACCTTCCGCTTTCGTTTTGCCCATTTTGGTGCGGGGGGGGGGGGGGGGGGGG